CTCTGTCACCCAGACTGGAGTGCAGCGGCGTGATCCCAGCTCACTGCAACCTCTGCCTCCCAGGTTAAAGCAATTCTCCTGCCTCAGCCTCCTGAGTAGCTGGGATTACAGGCATGTGCCGCCACGTCTGGCTAATTTTTGTGTTTTTAGCAGAGATGCGGTTTTGCCATGTTGACCAGGCTGATCTTAAACTCCTGATCTCAGGTGATCTGCCTGCCTAGGCCTCCCAAAATGCTGGGATTACAGGTGTGAGCCACTGGGCCCAGCCTCTTTTCTCACCCTTCAAGATGTACTAGTGTGATCTCACTCATGCTGTGGTTGCAATTTTCATTTAGATGTTAATAATCTCTAAATTCGTTACTAGCTCAGAACACTTTCAAAAGTTCAGACTTTTACAACCAGCTGCCTAATAAATATTTTGCCTTGAAATTCTCATAGGCAACTTAATTTTAAAATATATATATTCGAATTTGGTTATTGGTTCTGGAACTGGATTCTCCATCCATATTTCTCCAATCTGTGGTTAGTTTCCACAGAAACCTGAGAATTTCCCCAGACTTACATTATTGCTCATTAAATTATTTCATTACTTTCTATATTCCTGTGGTTACCAAGTCTATTAATTATTGCATCAGAAATATTAAAACGTAGCCCGTAATTTGTAATCTCTACTTGCCTTATGGTAGAGCTTTGGCCTTTGTAATTTCTTCTTTGAAGTACTGCAATAATCCCCTACTAGTTCTTTTATCCACCAATCTTGCCCCTCACCAAGACACCTTTGATTTCCCTTCCCTACCAAGATATTCTGAACATTCTCCCTCCACCAAGTGGATCTGGCCAGAGATGACCATAAATCTAGTTGTGTCTTCTGCTTAAAATATCTGAGGGAGACCCATTAATGCCTTTGGATAAAAATTATTCATTAGTTGTGTGACCTTGGGTGAAAGAATTGACTTTCCTGAGCTCATCTGTAAAGTAAGGCAATATGGCACCCTTAAAGAGCAGTGTGAGGATTATGGTGTTTAAATGTCCACCACAATGACTACTGTGTTATAGAGGCTGAGTGAGAACTTAAGCTATTTCTACCTATTTTTGAAAAGCTGCATGTGATGGTGGGAAAAGTATTGTATTTGGAGTCAGATAATAGTGATAGCAACCACAAACTACTAGCAAATGTTTAACACAAGGCTCTTCTGCGTGGTAGGTCTTTTTCCAAATACTATTCTTTTAAAATCTTCACAACAACCAGAGGTAGGCACTATTATCGTGCTCATTTAACAGATGAGAAAAGTGAGGCACATAAGGTTAGGTAAATTGATCTCTATAGAGGTAGTAAAACAAGAATCAGGAGTTAGGGCTTAGTAGTCTGGCCCCAGACTCCATGCGCTTAATTAAAATCCCAGCTCTGTTGCCAGTAACTTCAGACCTTGGCTAAGTCATTTTAATATATTGAAATCTCAATTTTCTCCTCCAAAAAACATAAACATCTGCCTCAGAAAGATTTCAGAGCATGCTCAGCATCTAGCTCAGGGATTGTAATGATTATCATTACATGAGAGCCTTCCTATCTGCCTTTGCAAACCTCTTCAACTTCCCCTCTCCATTTGCAAACAACAACCCTACAGTTTAGCCCTACTGAATCACTTGTTCGTTGCATTTTACATTTCCACATTTCCATCTGCTTCCATTTTCTCTGCTAACTTACTTTTTTTTTTTTTTTTTTTTTAGCTATTTGGAGAGCAAAACCAACTTTTTTTCCCCCTAGTTTGGAATCAGAATTTCTGCAAATTAAAAAAAAGAATTTAATCTTTGATAACTACTCAGAGGAAGTATCTCCTCCTAGAACATTCCTGCTCTTTTGAGGCTAGGTTAAATGCCAGTGTCTGTCATCATGTACATATTTTTATTATGGTATTTTTTTATAAAATAGTATAATTATGTTTTTTTTTCCTGCTTGACACACTATATTGGGAGCTTTAAAAAAGCAAGGATAATGTTTCTCATTGCTATATCTGGCACACATATTTACTGAATGAGTCAATGATCAATATAGCATGGTTGCTATATGTCTACCCATCTGTCTAATTTAATGTGATAAATGACCTAATAAATAGATTCTTATTTTAATTAATTAATTAATTGTTGAGACTGAGTCTCACTCTGTTGCCCAGGCTGGAGCGTAGTAGCATGATCTCAGCTCACTGCAACCTCTGCCTTCTGGGTTGAAATGATTCTTCCGCCTCAGCCTCCACAACCTCCTGAGTAGCTGATACTACAGATGTGAGCCACCACGCCCAGCTAATTCTCCTATTTTTTGGTAGAGACAGGGTTTCACCATGTTGGCGAGGCTGGTCACAAATTCCTAACCTCAAGTGATCCACGTGCCTCAGCCTCTCAAAGTGCTGGGTTATAGGCCCGATCCACCGTGCCCAGCCCTAATAAGTATTAAGAGATTTTAAAATATTCTGAAAACACAAAGGACATAGCAATAAATTCTACTTCCTTTGCTTTAAATTAGGAACTGCTTCACAAAAAAGTTGAATAATGTCTTGAAGGAAAAACAAGTTTTCACCAGGTAGAGAAGAAAAGGAATGTCAGGCAAGAGGACTACGAACGGGAAGACGATGTGAAAACTTATTCTATCTGTGGGTAACAGAATTCTCCATAATGGCTGAGAACGTCTGCATGTGACTGTTGGTGACAGAGTGAGAGAAAAGTTAGAATAATTGGAATGAGACTAAAAATGCAGACTATGGCCAAACTATGAAGGAATTTAAATGTAATATTTTGTTGTTGCTGCTGTCCTTACAGTGTCTCGGAATGTTTTGATTGGGGGAGTTTACAGAGTTCAGGCTGAGGTTTCATAAAAATTGCTTGTCGCAGTATGGAGGACTGATCAGAAAGCAGACAGATGCTGGAGGGAGGGAAACTGAACAGTAGCTCACTGGTCAAAAAGGAGAACCGATGAGGACTTGGTCACAGAGAGGAGGCAACCAGTTTCATAGATGGTATGAAGTCTTGCTGAAGAAGGGTATGGTTGGGATGAGAACACAGAACATTCTATAAAAGTTCAAAATGATTGCTTAAAGTTAAGAATGTGTTAAGAATTTAGTCAATAATAAATATAAATGCTTTCATCTGCTTGTAAAATACAGCATATAAATATATTCCCTTAAAAGTTTTACATATCTTAAGTATTAATCACTGTAATATTTTGATCTCCCTTTAAATATATCGTATGCAACTTTTAAAAAATTCGTGAATGAATCTATGTTACTTAACAGAGGACTTTTCTTTTAAATCATATTATATGCTCAGACAATAAAAATTATTTTACGTTAATCAACAATTTGAAAATCTTAAAGCAAATTACAATTATTTGCTGTAAATGTTTATAATTATTTTTGTTCCCAACATTTCACAAACATGAAAACAGAACTTAGAAAAGCTTCCTGTTGATCTGAACATACCTCATTGGTGGCCTTGAAAGGCAAAATAATAATTCTAGAGGCAAACCATTGATTAATTATAGCTCCAATCTAAAGAAAAATTCAGTATTATGCCTTACAGGTAGATTTTGCTCTTAAAAGTCTAATTAAAAAAAAAACAAATCAGCCTATAACTTTTTTGGCTTTTGCGGAGTCATTATTTATCAGTTATTTAAGATCATGCAAGTAAATTTATGAGTTAGTAATTTCCACCAATAAGTAAATTTGCAATATGTGAATTTACAAAGAACTTCTCACAGTTATTGTTAGAGGTTTACATATAGCATTAGTTGAAAAGTTATTTACATTATAATTTTTTTATGTGTAATATGATTTGGCTTTAGTATACTGTTCATTTTCTTCAAGTTCTGAACTCTTGGGTGATGCATATTTTTAAATTTGTTCTACCTACCTGTTTACAATATGTATAAATATTTACAGTGCACTTAAATAAACGATAGTGATTAGGGTGGAAATTAATTATTTGTCAGTGCTGATTGGGAAACAGGAAATTTAAGAATTCCAAGGGCAAATCTTTGAATGAGATGATGATGATGATGATGATGATGATGATGATTTTGAGACGGAGTCTCACTCTGTCACCCAGGCTGGAGTGCAGTGGCTCAATCTCAGCTCATTGCAACCCCCACCTCCTGGGTTCAAGCGATTCTCCTGCCTCAACCTCCTGAGAATTTTTCTTTTTAGTGTAATAAATGCTCTAATAAGTAGACTGCAATTTTTAAACACCAGTAACTCTTCATAAGCACAAAGTTATAGGTCCCATGCTGCTAATTTACAGGTCTTAAGTTATAAATTAAGAACTGTAAGAACTAGAAGCAGTTTAGGTCTTGAGGGTGGGGGTGATAGGAAGAAGGCAGGGAGATCAATGCCTCTCTAGCTTTGAATTTGCAACCTACTACATGCTTTACTGTCTCTTCCTCAGTCTGAGAAAAAATAGCTGAGTTTTGGGCAGGTCTTGGAAGCCTGAGGTTTTATAAGGGATGGCATTTTGGCAGGGTCTCTAGAAGCAGAGCTGAGATCTAGATTCTTGGGCAAGGGGCCTGTGGATGGAGTGCTCCCTGAAGAAGGGGAATGAGAAGACAGGGCAGGTGAAAGAGCTCAGCAAGGTGGTGGAGCTCTGGAGCTCCAACTGTACCACACACACATTGGTCCCTCATGGAGGCAAGGAGGCCCCCTTGAGGCCCAAGCCAACACTCCAGACCAGAGGGCAGCTGAGGTGTTTTGCACTAGCTGGTAAAAGGGCATCTAATCCACCACAGCAGCAACTCCTGTGAGTTGTGTCTATCTGTAATCATTGCCACCTCTTTTACAGCGATCCTAAGGCAGAGGAAAGACGCCATGTTTGTCATAAGGTGAGATGGGGGCTGACAGAATGTGGATGAGGACAACAAAAAGAGGAGATGATTATGAGTTGTAAAGCCTGCATTTAAATGGGGGAGTGGCAAAATGTGGGTGTGAATGAACTGTTTACATGAAGAGGGGAAGCAAAAGAGAAGATGTAATGTAGAAGCAACTTATTGCTGCATTTAAAGATAGTAGCAGGCAAGAGTGTGGGCAGGCATAAACCAGGCGGAGAGGGGTGATGAGCCCTGCTAGTTGATCACCTGGGCTTCAATTCTACCTGCACAAACAACAGCTGAATAAGGTTGTTCATTCACACGCACCTGCCTACGAAGCCCTGCCGTCTGCACTTTGAGAGCACACTCTTCTCTTAGCCTTCATGAAGCTTTAAAATGACTTCCCCATCTACAACTTTCTGCATGAAGTGAAAAAGGCACATGAAAAGGATTTAGGCTTGGTAATATATAATGCTCTTCTACTTTTTCTAATCTGTTTAAAGGATTAGTAAGAAAAGTAAATCTCCTCAGGCATAAATGCTTAAATTCTTTAGGATTCCTTGATGCACTTTTTAATTAACGAGAAAATTCAGTTGCAGCATCTGCATGCGTGTGTGTGTGTCTGTGTGTGTAGTCATTGCACAACTGAAGTCACAGCAATAAGAAATTATATAGTATTTTACCTGTAACATATGAAACCCAGAATAAAAGCAACATTCCCAAAGGAAACCCAGCTTGCTTCATTGAATAAGGCAATCCTGAAAAAAACATAAAATGCCCCACCCCTCACATTAACAAGAAAGCTAAAAATACAGAAATTCCCCGCCCTCAATTTCTGCATATAACAGGTAAAAATCAATGTATATTCTTATATGACATATTTGTAAGTTGCACATAGGAGAGTATTAATATTAACTGTTAGGTATTAATAGTTATTTTGGAATAAATTGTTATTAGCTTAGGGACAAATCAAGAGAGCAAGTTTATGAGGTGATGGAATAAGACTTAGAAAGCAGCAAATGGAAAACAAAAGCCAGTTCACACAAATAACATTGACTTTAGAATAAGAGTGACATAGCCCTGGAATATGTGGAAAGTCATTACCTCAAATCCTTCCTTACCTGCTAGCCAAGAAAGCAGACAGACAGGATAATAAAGAGCACAGAAGGGTTATGAAATACTAAGAAAGACAGACTCTGGAGTCAAAATTGGGCTATTATGTAGGAAAAAATGAGAGGAAAATGAGAAGGCAAATATATTTTTTTATAATGCTGAAAGGGATACATAAAATTATTTCATATAATTTTGGGGGAAATGGACAATTTTAGATTATGGACTATAAAATATTTAAAACAAACACAGTTGAAATATTTCCACTCAAAATTTTTATTCTCTGAAAAGTTTTCCCTTAAAGAAAAGAAAACAAGCTGCTGAGCAGAATTCAGTGGTGCTGGTTAGCATTGCTGACATGGCTCAGTTTAACATGTTCACATCAGGAATCAGCTCTAGAATTCTAAGTACAGCTGCCCATACCTTCATGGTACATGGAGGTAGAATTGTAAACAAGTCTTTCCCCCTGCTTCCTTCTACTTTACCTCAGGTAACTCTATTTTATGTATGAATGATTTGGGGGGGAAAAGACTATCCATAGAAAAATGTAAAATCAAGAACCATATTAACTTGTGAAAAGTAAGAAAAGTAAACTCAATCCAGATAAATGTTTAATTTTCAGAAGATGATAACTGAGAGGAAAATGTCAAAACTTTATAAAACACTGAATTCTCAAAAAGTATTATATTTTGCAGGATTTTGTTTTGTTTTTTTCTTGTCTTTTCTGAGAGAGAGTGTTTTCAGACACCAAAAAGAATAATAACCACCGAAAATATGGCTGCCTTTATTACTGTGATGCAATGCACTCAACTTTTTTTCAGAAAATTTCCCTTGCTTCTAATACAATGGGAAAATATGAGCTATTTATTTCTTTTAATTCTGGTTGTATGGCTCCTTTGGTAGGAAAATCATATGCATTTTCAATTAACAAATTTGCATTGCTGATGGAATGATATTTAAAATTAGTATATCGTAATAATTTTGTACTTTAAAATTTAATATTGTATAGATAGGTAAAGTGTATGAATTTAATTTTTCATAAGATTGGTATGTTTTCATATTAAACTTTTGCATCCCCAATGTTTACAAATATCTGGAAGTTTTATAATTCTAAAAGGTTAAAGAAAGATGATTCAAATGATGGAACTTCAGTCAGAGGAAAAAGTAATTAGGTAACACTAGCAATCAACCACGCAGCCTACAGCAAAAAGAGTCACTACCACCCATATGCAGTTTCATCTTCATCCACCAAATGTGGAAGATACTCTCAACTGTGGAAAGAGTGTGAATTGCAGCCGCATCTTCAGTATAAAAGACACCCATACATACTGTTACATTAAAAAAAAAAAAAAGGAAGGCTTTTATGAAACAAAATTACCAATTTTCTTATTTAAGTATTGTTTTTCTTTAGAAATAATTAATGAACACAAGCAGCATAGGGAGTCTTAAATTTTGCCCTTTCATTTAAAATTTAAAACAAAACAAAATACACTTACCTATTATACCAGATCCTATAATTGAGTTGACAACATTAAAAAGAGCAGCAGACTGACAGGTTTTCTCTTTATACTCATGTTCAGAAACAAGGGTTTCTCTGTCATCTAGATCTCTCTATTTTAATAGATAAAATAGCAATTATAAGCAAATATTAGCTCAAAAATTAGAAAAGTAACAAATATGTAAGGCAGGTTACTAGCATGATATTTCTAGTCATAATAAGTAATGTCACTAATGAAAATAAAACGATGCCAGGATAACAGTAATAAAAAATAACAATAATAGCTGGTAATTCAACGGAGCTTGGCAAGCAAACTCCATCCTAAAATTTCCAGATTACAGCTGCCCCAGCTGCTAAGTACAGTATCGGTTAGGAATTTAGTGATGTGATTCTGTGAAATTAAAGTGCCTGCTAAGGGGAAAAAAAAAAAAAAAAAAAAAAAAAAAAAAAAAAAAAAAAAAAAAAAAAAAAAAAAAAAAAAAAAAAAACTCAGATTAAAGCAAAACTTATTCTCCCAGAGAACATTACACGGTGCTGAACTAAGTAAGACCCCAGGTGAAGGTAGCTGACTTGACCTGTTGCCACGTGAATAAAATTTCCAGAAAACTGGCCTCAGAGCCTGCTCAGTGTCTAGTTTTACCTGCGGCGGGATAACAGGCTCCTCCTCCTGGTAGCCCATAGCTGCGCGGTGGTCCTGAGCAGGTGGGAGATGCTGAGGCTGGGTTCCCGCTCGCACCCGGCCAGCCTCCTCCGCCACCTCGCACGCAGCCGAGGTCCGCGCGGCCGCAGAGCTGCAGGGACCTGGTTCCACAGGCGCCCCGGGCCCCCTCCGCAGGCAGCGAGGGCTGCAGCCCCAAGATCTCTAGGCCGTCGCAGCCTGGGGCGCTTTTCCACCAGAGTTCGTCCAAACGTATTTTCCCTCCGGTTGAGGAGATGTTGCAGGACGCTTCTGATCCGGGCAGCTCTGTCTCCCCGCCTCCCCGCTCCATACCCCCTCCCTCAGAGAACAGGGAGAGCTACTCTTCCCGGAGCTGCAGAGGACAACTTGTTCCACCCACGCTGCCCTGCCCAGATGGCACAGTTATGACGGCCTCGTTGCAGCCCATTCCTAAGTTACCTGCTCCTTTGCTGGGTTCTGAAGCCCAAGTAAGAGCGCAGAAGCAGCCTTTGGCCCGTGGGACATCTTCCCTATTAGCACCTCCTCCTCGCTACACCTCTTTAATGGCAGAGACGACGGGTGAAAATTTAGCAGCTTTATTATAAATGGAAATTGAAAGACTCGTGAGAAAATGAATAGCAAAACAAAAAACTTTCCTAGGGTTTTAACAAACTTGACCTCTGAGCATGCTTTGGTCGAAGGCTTCCTGGTAGCTTTTTAGAAAAAGGAGCCGTAGAGATCATGAAAGTGGGTTGTTACTGGATTCTGGAAATGAACCTTGAAAACGGAAAGAGAAGTACAAGTGCTTGGGAAAGGGATGGCACCTACAGTGTCAGAGCTAGACAGAATCTTCAATGACCATCTATTCAGTCCTTTTACATTACAGATGAAGCAACAAGCCCAGAGAGTATTCAGTATCAGAGACAGAATGCATGAAAGAGCAGCCTCAGGGCCAATAAGAGCGGGAATATGCCATTATACTTACCAAATTCGGTCCTCCCTTGATATCCACAGGGGATTAGTTCTGGGACCCCTGAAGATACCAAAATCCGGGAATGTTCAGGTCCCTGATACTAAACGGCATGGTATTTGCATGTAACCCAGGCACATCCTCCAGCATACTTTAAATAATCTCGAGATTATGTATAGCACCTAAAACAATGTAAATGCTATTTAACTAGTTGTTATACTGTATTGTTTAGGAAATAAGAAAAAAGTCCTTATGTGTTCAGTATAGACACAACCATCCTAGCCCTAACTACATTTTGTTCTGGTTGAATGCATGGATGAGGAACTAGGGATATGAGGCCAACTGTACCTAATTAAAGAGGTTCTGTTTCACACATATTTGCTTACAATTATGAAAAAGGTTTAAAAACCATGGAAAAACAAAAGACTTATAAACTTTATATACACTCTGCTGTCAAATTAACAAATGTTAACATACTGTCATACTTTTTTCAAATTGTGAAAGTAAACACAATGTCACAATAGGAACCCCCTTGACCTTCTCCATGCCTTTCCCCAGGCCTTCATCCTTAGAGTCATCGGTTCATCAAGTTAGTGTTATCTTTGCTGTTCTTGCTTTTTATTTTAATTCATTCATTTATAGCCATAAACAATACATAACATTGGCTTTTGTGTTTTCAAGATTTACAAAGATGGTGCCATATTGTACATGTTATTTTTCCACTGGCATTTTTGTTTTCAGTATGTATGATATAGATATATGCAGATATGTTTTTTTTCATTTTATCTAACACAATTAAGTATGGCTGACTTAACTGTTACCTACTGAGAGATATTAAGGTTGTTTCTCATTTTACTCTCTTCCAGAGCATAAAAGTGACAGTTTCTCTAGATGTAGAAGTGTTAGGTAGTAGGGCATGAACACTTTCAACCTGATTAATTTTTTTTTTTTTTTTGAGATGAAGTTTCGCTCTTATTGCCCAGGCTGGAGTGCAGTGGTGTGACCTTGGCTCACTGCAATCTATACCTCCCAGGTTTAAGTGATTCTCCTGCCTCAGCCTCAGGAGTAGCTGAGATTACAGATGCCTGCTACCATGTCCAGCTAATTTTTTGTATTTTTAGTAGAGATGGAGTTTCACCATGCTGGCCAGGCTGGTCTCGAACTCCTGATCTCAGGTGATCCACCCACCTCGGCCTCCCAAAATGTTGGGATTACAGGTGTGAGCCACCGCGCCTGGTCTTCATTAAATATTATAAATTGCTTTGCGAATTGATGATATGAACTTCACTTCTACCAACAGAGGTGGAATTCTTATTTTTCTACATTGTCTGCAACATCAGGACTTATTTATCTATTTTTTAAGCTTCATCGTTCTGCTGGATTTTTAGGTGGCATATAATTATTGTATTGTCCTAATTTACATTGAGGTGGAAGATATTTTATATAGTAATTAAATATTTGCATTGTTCTCTTTGTGAATTTCATTTTATTTGCCCATTCAATTTGGATTGTGAATTTTTTCTATTGATTTGTAAGCATAATTTATATATTTGTGGTGGTAACCCTATTTCAGTTATATGTTTTGTACATGTATTCTCCCAGCTTCTTGCTTTTAAAATTGTTTTTCTTATTAATTCTGTGAAGTTACAATTTTAATATTAGTAATCTTAATCCTGATAGATTTGCACTGAGAAGGAAAAATTACAACCCTATTTTACTCAAAAATGTATATATGCAAAAATTCCAAGTAAAATATTAGCAAATTGCGTCTATCTATTTATGAAAATGTTAAGAAATCATAACCAAGTTGAATATAGCCCAACTATGAAAGAATGACTTAATTAACAATAAAGTTTATAAATATAATTTCCAACATTAATAGGTAAGAAAAAACCATGTTATTTCACTAGATTCAGGAAAAAACACTTGATAATATTGAATTCTTGATTTAAAAAAACCCTTTGTAAATCAAAAATATAATACAACTTCCTATAGTGATAAACTATAGCAAAGAATTTTCATTATGGGGAAATTTTAGAAGTATTTCCATTTAATCAGAAGTGAAAAAAAATCAATGATTGTGACTTTCATTTAACTTGATATTGGCTTTCCTGGTTTAAAGCAATAAGAAATAAAAGAGAAATCAGATATGAGAATTGGAAAGCTAAAAATAAAATTGTCATCATTTTTAGATGATACAATTGTTTGTATAGAAAAACCCAAAATAATCTGAGAGAAAATAATTAGAAATAAGTAGAGAGTTTAGGAAGCTGATTAGTATAAGATTAGACTAAGAATATATTAATTTCTCCACAGAAACAGCAAATAACTAGATATTATAATTAAAAAGTATATAATAGTATCAGAGAATATTTAATACTAAGGAATATATCCAACCAAGGAGAAAAATGTACACAGTATCTTCAGAGAAAAATACAACAATCAAAATACATTAAAGAAGGCCTAAATAAATTGGGAGACATACCATATTTATGAATCAGAAAAAATATTCAAAAGATATCAAATCTGATCAAATTGATCTATTAATTAAAACAATTAGTCTTACCACCACATTGACAACAAATCTCTGTCAAACTTTCTTTTTTTAATTACAAAAGAAAAATATTTGTCTTTTAAAAGTAGAAAATAAAAAGGAGAAATTTTAAATGTTCAGTTATTTCCTCTCTCAGTTAAAACTTTATTTTAAATATTTTTTCAATATATTAGGTTGGTACAAAAGTAATTGCAGTTTTTACCATTAAAGACAAAGCCTAATATTTTGCACCAGCCTAATATTATATGTATGTGTTGTTCTGTGTGTGTGTGTGTGTGTGTGTGTGTGTGTGTGTGTGTGTGAGGATATAGGCTCTGGTGGTCTTAAAATATGTCCACAAATTCTCTGACACTCCTCTCTTCAAGAAGTGGAGCTTAATTCCCTTTCCTTTGAGTGCAGGTATTATTTAGTGACCTGCTTTCAATGAGCAACATATGACAGAAGTGATGTGTGTACATTCTGATACTAAGTCACAAAATTCATTGTGGATTCTGCCTTGTTCTCTTTCAGACCACTCACTCTGGGAGAAATCAACCACTATGTCATGAGGAAATTCAAACTGCCTATGGAGAGAGGCCCACATGGTGAGGAAGTAAAGCCTCTTCCCAATACCACGTGAGTGAGAAATACTAGAAGGGGATCCTCTAGCCCCAATCAAGTTTTCATATGACTACAGCCCCTGCCAGCATCCTAACTGCAATCTCGTAAAAGGCCATAGCAACAGCCAGGTGTGGTGGCTCATGCCTGCAATCTCAGCATTTCGGGAGGCTGAGGCAGGCGGATCAGCTGAGGTAAGGAGTTCAAAATCAGCCTGGCCAACAAAGCAAAACCCCGAATCTACTGAAAATACCAAAATTAGCCAGGTGCAGTGGCATATGCCTGTAGCTGAGGTAGGAGAATCACCTGAACCCAGGAGAAAGAGGTTGCAGTGAGCCAAGATAGTGCCACTGCACTCCAGCCTGGGTGACAGAGTGAGAGTCTGTCTCCAAACAAAAAAGACTCTAGTAAGGACCCCTTAACCAAACTGCTCCCAAAGCCTTGGCCCACAAAAATATGAGATATTAATTTATTTTTTTAGGCCACTAAGTTTTGGCATTATTTGTTATTCATCAATAGATAACTGATATAGGCTCTTTCTATACATATTTTTGATAATTTTTTAAAAAGAACTGTTTCTTAATTTCATAAGTATTATTTAATATAATTTCAAAATATTATATTCTCAATGAGAAATCTCAACAAAAAAGAGACACATAAAATCACTAACAATTCTCCCATGCAGAGGTAAACAAAGTTATCATTTTAGAACCCTAAAGTTTAGTCAGATTATACTGTATTTAGTTTGTTGAGGTATATATTCACATATGCAAAATTAGTTTTATTTAGTCTGTCTTAGCCCCAGGCAGAGGCTATGGAAACTTGACTTTAACAAATATAGAGAGTCTTAATTTGAGCTTTTTATCAAATTATATAATTTTGTAGATCATATGCTAAGCCTTTGTAGGATTATTACGTTTCATCATTATTTGGTTACAGTCTAGACGAGGTGACTTCCAAGGGTACCTAGCTGTCTTAGAAATAATAAAAGAAGACTCTATCTTGGCAGAAATTCAAATTTAGAAGGCTCTCCCTGATGTCTAATCTGACTCCTTTCTGATATTAATTAAGGTTCAAATTTGAATGAGACTAGAGATAATAACTTTCAATCCATATCCCTGGGAAAGAGTTACTTTTTCCTCAACCTTAGAAATGAGTCTGTAAGAGGACTA